TTGCCGGGTATCAGAGAAAAAAACTAACGAGAAAATTATAACATCTAAAATTTGGTGACTTCCAAAGCTTGAGGGTTGATAGAAACTGCAAATTTAAACTTTCCCCATGATTTTGAAAATGGAGATAAAAGGTGCTGAGCCTCCTTTAAAAAAAATTAATTACAAATCTATATTATTTCTCAAAGGGACGGAAAGATGTCTTGTATCTTTGATCTCATTATTTTGACGAGCGCCTGATTTCACCACGATGCAACAAATTTGACACAGGGATGCCGTATGATACCGACTGAGCTAATTTTGTGCTTCATACGGCCTTCAACATAATCTTCTTTTGAAATTCTTCATGTCATGCTGCTTGTTTCTTGGTGCACATGCACTTTTTGTACCTCCTTGTGCGTCATTCGCTGTAAATGAATACTCCGGATATCATTGTATTTCGTCTTACAACTTTTTTTAGGGGGAGGGGGTAGGAAGACGTCCACTCTGTTAACAGACTCAATGCCATGGTTCTGTTGGCCCATTTTTGGTTTTGTTCCTCTCCTTTAATTGTGACCTTAAAGAACTGGGTACACTTCCATGCACTTGTTTTATTGTCTGTGTCTCTCTGTCAGTCTGTCTGCAACAATGTTCGCGTGTCTTTCCCCCCTTATCTTTCTGTCTGTATGTCTTCCGGCTCGTAAAATAATTCCCTCTTCCCCTCCTTGCTCTTTCACTACCCTGCTCCCCCCCCCCGCCCCCACTCTTTCTCTCTACTTTGATGATTCTGTAAAGGTATTGTGACTTTTTAAATCTCTCCCGAGTGAACAAGTTATCTTGTGTGTACATACATAGATGGAAACGCCTCAGCACTGAAAGGGTTATTTAGACACTAAATACATGTGCACTAAAGCCAAAGAAGCATACGGGGGCTCTCGTTGCCTAGAGGTTAAGGTGTTGGCCTCTCATTCAAAGGTCCCGGGTTCGAATCCGGGTAGCGACCGAAAATTTTTCTACTCTAAAATTGTCTCCTTTCACCTCCTTTCCTGCTCTCTAGCAATATTCTGTCGTCTGTTTTCGTCTCCTCTTTCTGCCCCCACCCCCTCACCTCCTTTGCCCCCTCCTCTGGGCTCCTGGCTCTTTCTGTAGCCTTTCTACTGCTACTCCTTGTCTCCTTCTTACAGCTGTCTTTCTGCCTCACACCTGATCTTCTGGTAGGAAAGATCTAAACCTAGCCTTCTCGGACATGGGCGAAAAATCTCGGAGGGCCCGTGTGCAAGTTGCGCACTATAAAGATCCCTTGGTTGTCGAAAATCGATAAGTGTTGGCTTCGGCCGCCACCCGGGCAAAATTCAAAATTTCCTACCAACTAAAAGTATTAGGTGTGTCCCGCGCGCTCATATGACCTTATGCAGTTGCGGGCGCCGTAAAACATTTACCAAAAAAACCCCCAACAAAACCCCCCCAAAAACAGCGAACGCATACATATTTATGGAAACGTAATCAATTAGGTAATGGACCCCTGTTTGCGGTAGGAATTGCCTTACTCGAAGGGTTAGTCACATTAAAATCGAGCAAGAGTGTGATAGAAAGTCTGTGAAAGCATATTCAATTTGCACATCAGAGCACCATGATTTCATAATATTTTGGCGACTGTGCCTACATTATAGTCTCTGAAAATGTTTCATGCTCATTTGAGAACAGCCCAGCTTTTTTTTCTTTTCTAAAAGTAGAATCGCTTATTTGATTATATGTCGGATTCCACTGGAATCGAGGCAAATTATATCGCGGATAAAACATTGCAAACTCGTCAGACTACTAAAGTTCACGAAGGGGAGAAATCGGGTACTCTTCAATGTTTGAGCATGTGGATATATTGATATAATCTTGAAGCTTGTTCATTTGCCTTGCTTTTGATGAAAAAGTATACCCTTTTATCTTGAATAAAAGTAGAACTCTGGCATTTTAAAG